GGGGGGGGGCCCTTTCATCTCTCTCGCCCTCTCTCTCCACCCCTCCCCCCGGTGTATGTGTCTTTAGGTGCGGCAGAGTGCATCAACGAGGAATATGGCTACGCCAACGAAATGACCAACAACTGGTACTCCCTCCCTCCCTCCCTCCCTCTGTGCCACCACCCCTCGCACACGCCATCTCTCTCTGTCTCTCTCTCTCTGTGTGTGTGTGTGTGTAGTGTGGGTGGCATCAAGGTGCCCACCACTCGTCCGGTCCGGCAGGCAGTGCTCTTCTACGTCCACAGGCTATACGGCATCACTCACGACGACTACAAGTATAGCGCGGTGAGTGAGCCAGGGAGGGAGGGAGGGAGGGAAAGAGGGTGTCGGTGAGAGAGTGGATGGGTGTGGATGTGTGTGTGGTGTGTGTGCAGATGAACAACTTCATGAGTTTGGTTCAGAAGATATTTGTCAAGAAGCTGGCCTGCTACCCCGAGAGGATCACTCGGTCGGCCGATGCACACACACGCGCGCGCACGCCTCTCTGCCCACTCTCTCTCTCTCTCTGTGTGTGTGTGTGTGTGTGCCATTGCTGCACATACACACAGGAACGACTTCAAGCGCGTCATGGATATCTTCAATGTAAGCCCCCCGTGTGCGTGTATCGCTCTCACTCTCTCTCTCTCTCCGCGTGTGTGTGTGTCTGCTATTATCAGGCCCAGGACATCACCCACTACGTGCTGATCGTCTTCGAGGGCCGCCGCATCGCCGAGCTCGTCTTTGCTCTCGAGGCACTCCTGAGAGCACAGACCTCATAACGATCACCTGATGCCCTCACTCGGTGGGCGTGGGCGTGTGCATGGGCTGCCATGGTGTGTGGGGAATTGCATAGCTCCGGGGGGCGGGCAAGATTCGGCGAGAAGGTGCAGCATGAAGGAAGGGTAGTAGGGGCGAGCGACGGTTGAATGGGTGGGTGGGTGGGTGGATGGATGGATGGACACACACATCATGACGCGTTTGCTGACTGACAGACATTGATGGGTGCGACGTGCGATAGACAGACAGACAGACAGTGGGGCGGATGGATCAAACACGAAATCGTTGCAGCCAGTCAATGTTTGCTGCCCACCCTACCTCTGGTCGTTGCGACTCTTATCATTCAGCCGGGAAGTGGTGGTCAGCTGCTTGCTTGCTCTGCTCACAAGAGTCTATCCTCTACAACCGGAAACACATTATACGCACCCCCTCCCCCTTTTCCTCCCCCACCCATCAGCAGCCACGTCAGCCACCCTGTGTGATTCCTCGTGTCCTCTGCGAGCCGTCGCATGAACGAGCTGGCCGTCCTGTGCAAATTCACCTTCTTGGGGGTGGTGGCCTTCGTCTCTGCGCCCAGAGATGACATCGTCGAGGGCATCGTGATTGTGGCGGGCGGCTGTGAGGGTGTGGCTGTGGCTGTGGCTGTGGGTGCGGGGCTTGTCTCTGTCACGGCCATTGGCAAGGGGGGTGTGGTTGACACGGATGGAGCGATGTCAGTGGGCGATGAGGAGGTGGGCAGGGGTTTCTCGATGGTCGGTGGCTGCTGATTGGTACCATTGGTGCCGCTAATGCCTATACACCCACACACACACACACACACAGAGAGAGAAAGAGGGAGAGAGACATGTGTGGGTGCGTGCAGCGAGTTTGTGTTGCCATGGACTGACGGTGACCTCTCTCCTGCGCCCGCTGGTCGACCTCTTTTATGTAATCCTCATACTTTTCCGGCACCTGCACCACACACACACACACACGCATGCACGATATATGGGCCCTGGCTCGACTCTTGTCAGCTCAGCTCAGCCCAGCTCAGCTCGGCAACAAGAGCCCACCCACATACGGAATTGTGCGGTGCCACTGGTGGGTGTGGATCAAGAGCGTCCTTCGGCGCCTGCACACACCATCGCCAGGAAACAAGTTTAAGACCCGATCGTGTTGAACGTGCTCCGGCAACACACACAAGACACACCAGCAGTGGCGGCGGCTGTGGGTCATATGGCGTCACGACCCTGTCCTGTGGCGCATCGCGTGGCGCGCACGGCTCGGACTCGGGCGCACAGGGGCTCAAATCTGCAGCCACCATCCACAACACACGGAAAGAGAGAGAGAGAGAGAGAAGCCGTCCGGTCATTTGGGTGTGGACTGTGGGTGTGGTGTGTGTGGCGGTGTGTGTGGCGGTGGATGTACCGTCGTTGATGTAGGGGTAGGGGGGAGATGATGCCTGTGCGCGGCCACTGGCAGCCAGATCAGCAGCGTCCCTGCACCATAGGATGGCCAAAGGGCACACACGCACATATATGCGCTGCGGTCACGTGCGAGGTGCGGCGAGGTGGGGGGTGTTTCTGCGCTGCATTCCCACTCACCCATCGATGAAGCTGACCGCCAAAAACACTGCAAACAGGGCAAGGGCGCTCATAATCCCCCGCGCACGCTCTGACCTTTTTACATGGTCATGTAAATCCATTGGCTGAAGATCTGTTTGTCAAGCTCTGGTGTCACCCTCCGCCCACAGCACAGAGGGATCTGTCTATGTCATTGTGCCTGCTGCTCTTGCTGCCCCTGCTGTGCGGCGGCACCCCTGCCGGCATTCTCACAACAACGTCTTCATTCGACCTCTTCGCCACTGCTGCCGATGCTGAGGTCCAGGGCGGCCCCGCGGCGGCCTCGATGCCGCCATTTCTGCACCAGTGCATCGAGAGCGCCTTCAAATGGGTGGGTCGGTGAGCATCCGCTACAAGCATCAACAGACACACAAGGGAAGAACAATGGTGTGATGTGGTGGACAGGTGTCCGAGCATGTCACCCCAGCGGCAGCATCGGGATACCTCGCCTGTGCCCACAGGCGCACGTCTCTCAAGGGCCACGCCGAGTGCTACTGTTCACACGTCGGCAGAGAGAACCAGAACGCCTACCAGGCCGCAGGGTGCTGCGACGCCCTCAAGCTCCACGGGCTGCCGCAGGCGTATGCCGTGGCGATGACCAAGCTGTGCGTTATGGAGTGCAGCGACGAGGGGGAGCTCCTGGGGCCGCCTGAGCTCGTGGGGCTGAGAAAGGACCAGCACCAGCAGCAGCAACAGCGGTTGTCGTCATCTGCACGTGTTGGTGGTGGTGTCTCGAACGCGACGAAGGCCGCCACCACCACGGCAAATGCAACGCGAAAATGGTCAGGGCTGGGGGGGCGAGGAGGCAGCTGCCACGAGAGCAGGAGATCGGCAGGCTGACGTGGCTGCACGCTTTGGTGCTCTGTGGGGTCATGGGCGCCGCAGGGTGTCTCGTCTTTGCCGTGCACTGCATGGCCCAGGGCGGCTGGATGGTACGCCACCCACACAGAGAGGACAAATCTCCCCCTTCGCACCGACACCCCTTTTCCCCATCTCCCATTTCTGTAGGACTCGACGATCCGGGGGCTGCTGACATTGCGTACAGGCTGCTCCTACATCGCCATAGCCATCATGGCCTGGGGACTCGCAGCATTCTTCGACGGCGGAGTTCTCGACGAAATATACGGCACCGCGGCGGTGCTGTGCGGCCTGTTGGGGGTATTTGCGGCGAGTTCGAAGGACGGCGGGATGCTGGGGACTTTTTACTGGGTGTTGGGGGGGATGGTGGTGTCTACGGCAGGGTATGGGCTGGTGTTGGCGTCGGAGGTGTTGGGATGGCTCGATTGGGGCAAATTCGGGAGCAATATCGTGCTTTGGTACGCCAACCACCACCCACTGCTGGAGAGAGAGAGAGGGAGAGAGAGAGAGAGAGAGAAGATTCCCTCTCTTTCTCTCTGTGTGTATGTTTGATGCCTGTGTAGGGACCGCTCTCAGGCGTTGTTCTACACGGGCTGTCTGTGCGCAGCGTTTGTGCTGCAGGTCTGCGGCCTGTGTGTGACCCGGGGGCTGCTGGAGGTGGTGCAGCAGGGGGGCGACGGGGAGGAGTGGATGTCGGCGGAGCAGCTCAAGATCATACAGCAGTAGAGAGAGGAGGGTCGACAGACGTACCTAGGGAGTAGCTAGAGCGATAGTTAGAAGAGTGTCTGCTCGTTGATCCATCCATCCATCCATCGCGTAAACAGCAATCGAATCTGTGTGTCTGTGTCTGTCTGTGTGTGGGTACCGAACGACAATGGCAGCGACAGCTAGCGGTGGTCTCTCTCTCTCTCTCTGTCTCTTCTTGTCAATGGCGACTGACTGACGGCTGTGTGTATCTCTCTCTTGAACAAACCGATACATGCAGTGTCAGAACCAAACAAACTCGCCCAAACAAACAAACAACACATACACACCGACACGGCAAAGGCAGGCAGAGACACTGCAGACAGAAGCAAACCCCTCCCTCCCTCAAAGTTCCAGCCCCTGCTTGCGGTTCAGGTATTGCAGACACAGAAACGCCACACCGCGGAAGCCCACACCTGCACACACACAAAGGTACCTTTGTGTGGGTCACAGTGGGTGTGTGTTGAAGGGCCTGGCTAGGCCGACCTAGTCCGAGGAGTATGAAGCACAGAGTCCAGAAGTTCTGTTTCTCCAGGTCGAAGAACTCCAGCACCCCGTCGCCGCCGTCAATGTCGTCCTGGAAGCGGTCGTTGCCCTCAAACTCGTTGACCATTATGCCAAAGAAAGAGTAACTGCACACACAGTACAAACCGGCAGCCAGAGGCAGAGGAGAGAGAGAGAGAGAGAGAGAGAGAGGGAGGGCGAGAGAAAAGTGCGCGTGGATGGCTGGGGTGTCTGTCTGTGCTGTGTGGACCATTCTTGTCTGTCATCCCTTTCACTTTTCACTTTTACTACACACCGGATATAGCTGATGTACTTGATCCATGCGATCCTGACAGACAAACGGACAGACAGACAGACAGACAGACACCCAGAGGGAGCAACAAGGCATGGATACTACGGTAGTCCACATCGCACGGCGTGTCCGTCTGCCTGACTCACCATGGCGGGATGTCCCCGTCCTTCAGGTAGTACCCAGAGGTCAGCTACACACACCCACACCCCACACACACAGAGAGCCCATCAACAGACCAAGACACATCCGCTTTTCAGACACACTGACCGACACACTCACTCACCCACCATGAGTATGACCATCAACATCCCAATGAAGATGTTCCCTATGTCAGGCGAGGGCGAGGCGGCGGCGACGGAGACCATGAGGGCGAACGAGGCGAAGACGGTGATGTTGGAGATGAGGAGGAACTTCAAAAAGTACACGATGCCGGGGCGGAGACCCACCATGAAGTAAAATATGGCGCAGAAACACGTCGGCGGGAATTGAGTATCAGAGACAGACAAGGAGGGAGGGAGGGGAGGG